CCCGTGCAACGCGTCACTGCCCGCAGACAGATTTGGGCTCGGGGTTTGTTTCAAGCCATTGGTTCTGGCTGATTCCACAACAGGCAGATGAGAAGCATCAGGAAAATCTATAACCAATTTCTAAACCTGCAATTTGCCAAGCTAATCAATACTAATTATTACCGGCCAGTAATTGTGAATTAAAATACCCAGCAATGTTACAGAAACCTCCACACAACTCTCCCACCCTCACAAAGCCCCATGCTACCAAAGTCAGCTATAAAAAAAGGCTACCCTTATTTTTCATTTCAAGTGGTATCCGTGGTCTTTCAATATGCCTGGCTGGAAAACCCCAAGACTTCCCACGAAGAAACAGCACTACATTTTCCCTGAAAGTTCAACAACGCAAACCAAACGGAAACACTTGTGCTGTAACGGGGCAGGACAGAAAAATCGCAATGGGAGTACCAAAATTTCTTCCTCAAAGATCGGTCATATCAGGGCTGAAGTGTGGAGTAAATCCCAGCTCCCTGGTTTGCACTGGCAAGCTCAGACCACGTAATGAGTAATGGGGCAGCCCCTTCCTCCCTGCAAGCTGAGCGGGGCTTGCTGCTGCTCCCGCAGGCAGGGGAGGCAGCTGAGCCCGGCGCTTGGCTGCCTGACGCCTGCAGACAGGACTGGAAAAATGTGGCACTGAAAAGCGTACAGGTCTCCACCCCGAAACGCCCTGGCTCTCATTCAGCACCCGCTCGCAAATCAAGCCCTTAATACAGACATCCCTCCCTCCCCCAGCGGAGCTGCCCCCTTTCTCCAGTACCTCACTTGGGCATAGCAAAGCCTGACAGCTTTTGCCGGGGTTTTGCCATATTCCATAAACCCAGGCATCTGTTTTTAGACTCCCCAAGTCACAGCAAACTCAAAAAATGAGTCCAATACGTGTTAGGCAGGGAAAGTGGGAGGTTAATCCTAGATTTGCTCTGTGCCCAGCGCTGCTACATGCACAAGTATAAAATATCCATTATTCATTAGCATCACAGTTGTGTGGAGCTCAATCTAGATTAAACAAAATAAAGGGGCCCCAGACAGCACCATTTGCATTGTTAAGCAGGCGCTTTTCTTCAGCCTTCAAATAGGAGACTTTTCTAAATGGAAATGATGGGGAAATTTGGACAGATGTTCACTTAACTATTTAAACAGTTAGCTTAAGAAACATGAAAAATGTATTTGGCATCGTATTCACCTGTCTCCTTTCAGGGGTTTGGGGGGTAAACCAATTGTTAAACAGCTTTGACTGTTTGCATAAGATCTGAAGCTTATGTGCTGTCCAGCTGAAATCGTGTTGCCTTCTAATGTCTACATAAACGTAGCTTCCAGCTAGGCAGCGTGCTAATCTTTTTCTCCTCTATCAAGTTTCACAGTCCTCCGTACCCTCCCTTTCCCAACCGATGAACATTTCACACTTATTCTAGCACCTCCTAATTTTAATCTGCTTTTCAGGGAGTGATTTAGAGCCTTGTATATTCACCATGCTTCTAAAAATATGCTGTAACTTGTAGCTCAGTGAACATGATTTTTTTTTTTATTTGCTGGAAGATAAAGCAAAATGAACACGGACTTTTGCCTTTTTTTTGTTTGCTTGTAAAAACCCCTGCCACCTCTGATACCTACTTACCCAGAAGCTACTTGAGCTGAAACTTTCTGAGGCAGGGAGGAGGAGATTATTGGAGGAGGGAGAGAAGACAAGGAGCAGGAAGAAAATCTTCCACCCCAAGCCCCATCTGTGGTTAAATTTAAAATAACCCCACATGAACAAACTGATCTGCATTCTGTCCCCCAGACACCTTCATAACAGATGCAATACTCTCTCGCACATTCACGCACACAAAGTTGAAGCGCATTAGAGGGGGAAAAAAAAAAAAAAAAAAAAAAAAAAAAAAAAAAAAAAAATCTATCAGAAGAGGCTCAGCATCTACTTACCAGCTTGGCGTAAAAAGAAGCTGGAAATACAGAAAGGTTTCAGTTTGGAGTTGTTTTGCTTGTTCTAAAGCCCCCATTTTTTTCATTCCCCTTTGAAGTTAAAAGGCAACAATTTTTAAGTACAGATTTATCCCCCCCCCCTTATGTAACAGGAAGACCAAGCCAGCTTGTAAATAAGCATAGACTACGCAGATTTAAAATTTAGCACAATTAAACTTTTACCCTGTGGTAGTAATTATGTTTAATGGCTCTTAGCCTGAACTTAACCATGTCTATTGTTGTCAGCCAGTCTAAAAGCAGGAGTTTGTCCAAGGACAATTTTCTGTAGTTTATAGGCACACTAAAAACCCCGCTACGCGCTGTTCTCATTGGCCATTGATGTCAGTGTGTATAGTAAAAATTAAAGCTAATTGGCATACAGGAGCAGCAGTGAATGCAAATGAATTAATGGGAAAAGAAGGGAGCGCTCCTGGAAGCGGTAGGCAACTGCCGAAGGATGCTCTTTATGTAGCCTGGGCTAAAGAGTAGTCTTCTGCACGATCATCCAGACCTGCTCACTCCATGAATACACCTGAAGTTAATTCAAACTACAGTAAAGTCAACAGGATTTTGAGGGGAAAAAAAAATGGTAAAGGGTCCCTACGATAGGGAAAATGGGAAGAAACTTCTCATATGAACGCATTAAGCTTAGCACCTTTTAACAGATTTTTCCTCCTCTGTCCAAAATGTGGAGGGTGGCTAAACTGAGAACCCGACTGGCTATTTCTGTCACCGCTAGGAACAACAATCTGTTGTAGTCATTGCCTACATGGAGAGAGTCCCCATTTCTTCTCCTCTCTCTAGCCTGGTGTCTGATGGGCTAGCAGCTTGCAATCGAGAAAGAGGGAGAAAATCTTCCCTCCACAGACAGAGTGAAAATTTTGGAGCTGTTGATTTCACAGGAGACAAAAAAAATGAGGAAACAGGACTGGCACATATAAATAATAAGCAGTACAGAAAGGATCTGTTAGGAGTGTCAATTGGATTTTTTTTAAACAACACGAGAGCAAGACAAGTTCAAAATTAAACAGCTGAGTTGAGACTGATAATTCCCAAAACAAGAGGCTTTGTCAACACTGAAGGGTAAGAAGTATGAATTGCAAGACAACTGAACACTTACCTACAGATAAACATCTGCATTTGTAGATATTGTGTACAGCTACATATTCCTCTCTATATTCGTATATCCAGATTATCTGGGTAAATTTTTGAAGAGCTTCCGAACCCCACGCTCATATCCTCTCCTCTTGTAGGTGAAATAGGTTTTACCATACACCTTCCCTATATGCCTGCTGCCATTATTTTCTAGCTCCATCAGGACCTGCTGTAGAACAAGACTTGCTTTACGTACATGAAACTCATCACTATGAAAAGAAAAGGCTTTGCCCCTACTGTTTGAAACAAACCAACAACCAGTCTTCCAGTGAGGATGGCTCTCAACAGCTTGCCATCAGTATTTTTCCCATCTGTGGATATTAGAAATATGCTGAGCTACAAGTCTCATTTGACCACAGTACTGAATATGCCAATAATTGCAGGGAAAGCCTGAATGTCACTGAAAAAGATAAAAAGAATCAGCTTAAAAGCAACTTCAGACTCGAGGTTCCCAACTTCCCTGTAATCAGCCTTCGTGTAATATTCAGAGAAAGCCTCAGCAATCGGCATTTCAGCATGGTAAATACACATCAGCTGGTGCACCCTCCTTTCCAGGACACTGTTGTCAGTGCTGCAGTGGGAAGTCATGTCAGCTGAAGAAAACGAAACGCATTTTGATACTAATGAAGTTGGTCAAGCTGTCCTCTCATGAAGCCTTCAAGTTCAATCCCAAAGAATTTGCATCTTGCACGCCAAAGGGTTTGGCATTCATGGATAGCGAAGCAGGAGGAGTTGAACCAGCGCAGTACAAGAAAGCCCTCTGGTCGGGTGATCGCACTAGTT